TTCTAAACCCCTTTACGTATTACGTTATTCACTGGGATTTAGGTCACTGCTTATATATATATATGTAGGTGTACAGGCACCAGACCGCAGCTAGAAGTGTCAGGGTAAACTCCAATTTTGTCAAGCCAACCTATGTGCTTCACTATGAGGTTCCGAGCCTGTCAAGCTAAGGCTATGGGGTGTTTTAGTTTTCCCCCTTCTGTTCTGTCTTGTAAACAGTAAACTGTTACCGTACTGTTCAATAGGGATTAGGTCCCTGAACTGAATGATTGTATATATGTACATACTGTTCTGTACTGTTTATGTATATGTGTATGAAAAGTCTTTTTGGCATACAGACTGTCACAGCTCATTGGACATTGTTTATTTACTGTTTTGCTTCCGCCATGCCCCTGTACTCTGTTTTACTGTATTACTGTTAAGCAGGCCTTCGGTAATCTTGGATTACTGGCCGGTTACGGTGTTTAACCCATAGGAGCGGGTTTGGGTCGTGACAATGACCATTCCTCTTGGCCGACCATCCCTCAGCATGTTCCTAAGGTGGGTCAAAAGAAACAATCTGGAAGTTGGCACAATTTTCAGAAGTCTAAAAGAGTGCAAACAGAGGCATTTAGAGGCAAGGTGGTGGATTTCCAGGAGGACGCGACCGAGCATGCATCCTTCATTGTTCAAGGCGGAGCTGTGGCAGCCTAATTTAGATGCTTTTCATACTTAGTTGGTTTTGTAACTTAATTAATTTGATTAATTAGTTGGTTTGTAATAAGTAGCCTAGCTTAGCGTAGCTTAGCCTATTTATTCGGACCCTCCGTCGAGAGGGCAAATGTTGTAATTAGTGTGCGTGTGTGTGATGTATGTCTTCCAATCCCATTTCTTTCTCCCTTTTAGTTATTAGCTTTTGATGGTTAGTCTATAGCATATTTCAATTAACATCCTTATGCTTGCATGCGTGCATCATTCATCTGTCTTGCATGCACCAGGCTCGGCGCATCATTCAAACTGCATTGTATTTCAATTCCTATTTGAATACATGTATCAAATTGTAGCATTCATATGCCATCTTAGAATAGCCGAGCCTACTTAGTTGCATTTTGCATGTGTTGCATTAGGCATCTTGTATAGCTAGGATCATGCATGATTTCTAACTCGCTTCTGTTTTGGCTCGGAGTACACTATGAGTGTTTACGGTTTAGCATCCTTGTATGTGTGTAAGTGACTGCCATGATAACATGTTTGCCATGAGGCTGTTTACTTAACTGCTATAACTGCATGAATGCCTGTGGATGAAGACTTTATTTCTTGAATTGGAACAATTCATCAAAATGTAAGTTTTAAGCCCACTTAAAGTGGCAAATCATCATGTTTTAAGCCCACCTTGTTTGGTGACAAATCCGCGCTTTAGCCTACTTGCGAGTAGCATCTTCAAACCATTTTCAAAAAACAAGCATGAGATGTTTTGTTCCAAATTGAGTGACTTGGTCTATACTTGTATGCTGTGCGCATCACATAGTAAGTTAGCCAATAACCGGAATAAGAACACATGTGTTTTCAAAAATAACATATCATGATTAGTAGAGGCCGATCCTTTGATCGGGCAAGCGGGGGTGCTCATTTCATGACCTTCCCCTTCGTACCCAAGTTCCCGAGCCGAGGGAACTTTGGTGATGACGGACACGTGGCCTTTGGCACGAGTTAGGGTTTCCTAAATTTTTCAAAATAAAATATTTAGGTGGCGACTCTGTAATCTGGCAAAGCGGTCCATGTTTGGTGCTTTTTGATTAAAATTGATTTTTCAAAACGATTTGCCAGATTTGGACTCTTTGATGATTTATCAATCTTACATTGTACTTTGTGAGATTAGATTCAGAACCATGATAGGAGTCCGAACTGTAGTAGCTATGAACACAATTCACTTCCTCACGCGCGGAGCGGAGTTCTGGCGGTCTACACTCGACCCTAGTGTTAACAGAAAACTAGATACCCGACTTTCAAAGTTAATTTTCTAGCCTGAAGCTCACCCATAAACATCTAAAAGTTTGAGAATTTCTTGACAGTGAATCACATCTGCTTTGAGGAACAAGAGAACATCATCTGCAAATAACAATTGTGATGGCAGTGGGCAACCTCGAATTTTGATACCAGAGAATCTTTTAGCATCCAAGCTCTTTTGAAGGAGTTTAGATAAAACTTCTACCACAAGGAGGAATAGATAAGAGGAGGGTCTCCTTGCCGAATGCCCTAGAGGTTGTAAATATTGTTCATACAGCCCCATTCACAACCATTGCAAATGAAACCATGAATACACACTGCATCACCCAATTAACCCAAATCGCATGAAAGGCCATCCTGTGCAAAATCGCTTCCAGAAAATCTCACTGAACCCCGTCATAGGCTTTGTTGAAATCAAGTTTAGTGGCCATGTCTGACTAGGTACCCCTCTTGTGCAATTTAAGATAATGAAAAGCTTCATGGACCACCAAAATGTTGTTTTGGATCATTCGCCCGGTAACAAACGCCGACTGGTTTGGAGAAACAATCACCCTCAAAACTTCTTTTAAGTGATTAGCCAGAACTTTAGTAATGATCTTGAGTGTGAAGTTACATAAGTTGATTGGTCTAAACTGTGAAAGCATCTCCAGGGCATGAACTTTAGGGATTAAAACCAAATTAGTTTGGTTTAACTCTTTCAGCAGCAGCCCATTCTCAAAGAAGCTCTAGACCGCCTTACATATAGCCTCCTCAGTCATATCCCAATACTGGTGGCAAAAAAAACCAGGATACCCATCTGGTTTGGGAGCTTTAATAGAGCTCAATTGGAATACTACAGATTTAATTTCATCATCCGTCACTGCCCTAGTTAATCGAGAATTCATCGTAGGAGTAATAACACGGTCCACCACACTTAAAGCCTCCTCCATATCATAATTACCAACCGAAAAGAACAGGTCAGTGAAATAATCGTGTAAATGGCTATTAATAAGCTCATCCGACTCTAGCCACATCCCATTTGCATCTTTGAGGCGTACCAATTGGTTTCTCTGTCTGCGTTGGATAAGTGTTGCATGAAAAAATGCCGTGTTCTTATCTCCATAAGATAGCCAATTAACAGGAGCCCGCTGATGGATAAACATCTCCTCTCTTAACAGATACTCCTCCAGTTGGGATTGGATGTAAAGTTGGTCTTGACAGTTCTGAGGAGTGGGAGCAAGGCTTTGGAGATATGCCAGTTTGATTTTACAATCTGCAATCTTCTTTTTGTTGCTGAATTCACTCATGCTCCATGATAATAATGCATTGCGACAGGGCGTCAAACGGTGGGCCAATTGGAACATAGGGGATCTTGAATTGAGAGAGGTCCAAGCCCACTTGATGACTTCACCACACGTCGGACTGGACGCCCACATAGATTCGAATTTAAACATTCGAGGCACTCTCTTAGGGGGGACACAACAGTTAACAATAAACGGACAATGATCGGAACCGATGATGTTCTCATGGAACATTTGTGCGAAAGGAAATCTATTACGGCACGACATAGAGGCAAAAGCTTTGTCCAACCTCTCACGAATGTTGGCTTCCTCAATTTGGTTATTTGTCCATGTATAGGCAGATCCTTTGAAACCAAGATCCATTAGTGCACACTCCGAAAGCATAAACTAGAACCCCTCAATCTAAGATTTGCTACATTCCAAGCCATCAATTTTCTCCCACATAGAGCCCACTTGGTTGAAATCACCCACACATAACCACGAATAACAATTGCTTTTGGCTTGATCAATCAAGAGGTTCCAAAAAGCCTTGTGCTGCAACCGATTATGAGGGACATATACAAAAGAGATAGCCCACGCCTTTTCTGGGTTGACATTACCAACAATGCACCGCATGAGATGTTTAGACTTAAAACAAATATCCAGGTTAATTTCATCCACCCACCATAGAGCAAGCCCTCTAGATGCCCTATCAGGACTAACATAACAACTATTTGAAAAGTGAAGCCTTCTACGAATCCTCTCCAATTTGGAGGTTTTATTCTTTGTTTCCATCAGAAAAACCATAGAGGGGCAATGGTTTGAGCACAACCCTCGGAGGATCTGGACCGTCAAAGGTTGCCCCAATCCCTGATAGTTCTAGCTAAGCATCAACACGGAGCTTATGGTTGTTGAGGGTCAACCACCAAAACCCTAACCATAGCAGTCTGAATTGGTGAATTGAAGAATAAATGTTATTTTATTTTATTTTTTCAAATGTCTAGTATGTCTGTTGAAATTAAATTTTTGCATAATTTATTTTTATTTTTCAACTTTAGTAAATAAACAGAATTGAATTAATGAGAATATAGTATGTACCATTGTACAGGATAGTGGTATGGATTAGTCTTTCAGAAAAATCAGACTCAACAATAAAATGTTAAGAAGACAAAAATTAAATATAAAATGGAACATAATTCCCTTACACGGGGTGAAAGAAGCGTGAAGCTCATATCCCACTATGAACATAGACTTACTCGAGATTTTGTTTAAGATGTGAATTGGGTTGGCTTTTTAATTATATTAGTTATAAAAAAGATAAAATACATTAAAATGTTAATCAAACAAAATGTCATATATTCAAATTTTAATAATTTTTAATTTAAAATAAAAATTATAATTATTTTATTTTTTCTCTAAACAAATAAAAAAATATTAACCAAACAAACATTTTAGACAGACTAAGAAGAAAAAAAAAAAAAAAAAAACAAAACCCCTCAAAGGAAGCCTAAAATAAGACCCAGACCGCAGATTTTCAGCAGTACTTCAAGACTTATGTCCGAATTCGGAAATACATGGAGCCGAGAGAGATTACAGGGGCGTGTCTATCTCTCTACGCACAGTACATAGTATGGTGGATTATAGTTAAAAAAAAAAAAAAAAAAGAGGGCATGAGATGGACAAAAATGAAGCAAGGTCTTCATTCATTCGTAAACCCAAAGAAATCTTTTGATTGATTAAACAATACATAAACCCACAACAACAGTACCTATACCCACCCACCACCCCTCAGCTCCACCATCCCCTTCCCCCAACCTCTCCTCTCTCTCTCTCTCTCAACAAACACCAAATCAAAGTCCAAACTTCAAAGGGACTCACAAATAACTCTCCATACCCACATCATCTGTCTACATTCCACCATCAACCCATTCTCTCTCTGTGTTGGTGATAGCAGAGGAGAGAGAAAAATGAAGCTGTCTGCATTGCAGCAGAGCTACATCAACCGCCGGAGCAACAGCTTCAGAGGCTCACCGCCGCTGGACGGGTCTCTAGACGGCGGAATCAAGTCTCCGGCGGCTATATTCTGGCTAGTGCTCCACTGTCTCTGCTGCCTCATCAGCCTTGTCCTTGGCTTCCGATTCTCTCGCCTCATCTTCTTCCTCCTCTTCTCCACCTCCACCACTTCCAACCTCTACTCCACCTTGCCCTTCCGCACCGCCACCGAGCTCTCCGATTCCCTAACTGTTCAGACCACCCCACCAAATCCCCAATCTCCGGCCAACAGAACCGTCGTCTCCAGCAGCAGCAGAGTGGTGGTTGGGCGGCACGGGATCTTAATCCGGCCATGGCCACATCCCAATGCGGTGGAGGTGATGAAAGCTCACCGGATAATTGAGTTGGTTCAGAGTGAACAGAGGGTTCAGTACGGCGTTAAAAACCCTAGAACTGTGATTGCTCTCACTCCGACCTATGTAAGAACTTTCCAGACTCTTCATCTAACTGGAGTTATGCATTCGTTGATGAATGTACCTTATAATCTCATCTGGATCGTTGTTGAAGCCGGTGGAACCACCAACGAGACCGCTTCGTTGCTCGCCAAGTCAGGGATTCGGACCATCCACATTGGATTCAATCAGAAGATGCCAATTTCGTGGGAGGGTCGGCATCGGATGGAGGCTCTTATGCGACTTCGCGCTTTGAGGTGAATTACTGGTTCTATTCTTCTTCACTTTGTTTGCATTTACTTATTGCGTTTGATTAGCAATACTGGTAGAATTGAATTTAATTGGAGTGTGTGTTTGATGGAGCAGAGTTGTGAGAGAAGAGAAATTAGATGGAATTGTGTTGTTTGCGGATGATAGTAATATGCATAGTATGGAGTTCTTTGATGAGATTCAAAATGTGAAATGGATTGGCGCTGTTTCGGTTGGGATTCTTGCTCATTCTGCTAACTCTCATGAAGGGTTATCAGTAATTCAGAAGAACGAAGATGCGGAGAATCTGCCTATGCCAGTTCAAGGTCCGGCTTGTAACTCATCGGACAAGTTGGTTGGTTGGCACACCTTTAATTCGCTGCCATATGCTGGTAAAAGCGCGAACTATATTGGTGACAGGGCAATTGTGTTGCCAAGGAAGCTGGAGTGGGCTGGGTTTGTGTTGAATTCAAGGTTGCTCTGGAAGGAAGCTGAAGATAAGCCAATGTGGGTTAAGGATCTAGACACATTTACTGGGAATGGAGACAATTTTGAGAGCCCATTAGCTCTGCTGAAGGACCCTTCTGTGGTCGAGCCTCTGGGCAGTTGTGGCCGCAAGGTCTTGCTATGGTGGCTCCGTGTTGAAGCTCGTGCAGATAGTCAATTTCCTGCCCGGTTAGTCATTTGCTATCACTCTTGCCATTTTAATATTACTGCTTAATGATCGTAATCCAATTGACATGGCTGGATTCCTATATGTAGGGTTAATTATGATGTTGGTTACCTTAGCAACAAAACTCATTTGGAATCTGCATTGCATTTCTAATCTTTTCTTTATGGTAGTAGTGCATACTCATTATTGAAGGTGCTGTATCATTTGTACACAATTGTATCCCAACCTAATTGTGGATAAATGTGAGTTTTCTGAAATATGTAATGGGGTGAAGCTAATGCACAAAACCGTGCAACTGCTTTACATACCTTAGTTGCAGGTAACTCCTACTAAGGGTGGCGTTTCTCCTCCAAAACTCCAAATCCACGATTTAGAAAAATAATCTTGTCAGAACCGCGTTCTAGACAACTTAGAATAACAGTCCCAATTGGGAAGGACCACTCAATCACATGAACCTTAAAGAAATAAAAAAAATAATTTACCTAGGTTAAACACAATCTTTTAATGAACATATATTTATTATAGATTTTGCTATTCTCTTAGGAATTAAGGGGTGGAGGTTGAACCAGGGTGATTGTGGGGGAATGGCAACATCCTCTTAGGAATTAAAAGGTAGAATTTTAAATTTATTTTTTATTGAGCTTTCAATTTGGCATCATAAAGATAGAGGAGTAATTATATATGTTATTGGCAATGAATTGTTACTTCTATAATGGAAATTTATCATGAGTATGTTTAATAATTTAAGTATTAATATAATGTCGACATTTAACATATACATTGCAACTAAGCAACAACAAAAAAAAAATCTTACAATATATATAGATATAAAATGCCTAAATGCTCCCCCACCCTTGTTTCCGCTTCATGCAACTATTGCGTACTAATGTCTTCCTAACAATTATGTCACACTTCATTTTTCAGAACCAAGATTCCTTAGTGCCCTCTCCCTTTTGGAAACAGATTGCTCTCCTCCTCCATTTTTGTAGCCTCCACCTACCTTCTCATTATCTCCAAACATATACTCATCACCTAATGGAGGAGGCTTTGGGCCAATGTTGTTGGATTTACTTTGAAAAACCTATGTTCAATTGGTTGGAAATAGTCCAATGAACAAAACTCACAGCTAAGCTGTGACCTAAGCTGATTTTTGATTGAATTCCATCGTTTAGGATTTAAAAATTGCATTTTTGGAAAATCTTGTTTTGCCAATTACTTGGTGGTGCAGCCACCCCATACACTCACAGAAAACAAAATTTCAAAAACTTGCTTTGCATATGAACAAAAGAATCCCTTGAAGAAGCAATTATCTAATGTAAATTTCAAATCCGTCTCAACACTCGGTGTTTGCAAGAAGATACCTTGTCCCGTGTCCATGAGTATGAGAATTAGATGAATCGAACAACGAGATGCATACTCACATACAACACTTGTACATGAGACCATAACATAGAATATGATTATAGTCCTAAATGAATTTTATCAACTTTAGTTCATAAAACTCCGAGATTGAGTAGTGCAAGGAATTTAATGTAACAAATTGGCATTAATTATTTTGTCCAATCAGCTTGTGCCTTCCCATTTGTAGGACATGCGGGTATAAAAATTGTTCTAGAGGAGGTAGAGAAGCTGTGGAGCTAACCTTGCTGGTAAAATCTCTTAGGAGTAAATTTTGAAGGTTTACCTTGAGGGATTACCATAGTTTGTTTCCCATTTGATTGAGGGTGGTTATTATTATTTTCATCATTGTGCATATATTTAGCATATTTAACTTGTACCAAAATAATTGCCTTAATTTGGGTCAGAACTTTGCAGAATTTAAATAGAGCAGCAATTGATGAATAGAACTAGATCTTTGTGGCTCTGTGATATGCCTGCCAGTTTGTTGCTTTGAAATTGTGAAAGATCCTCAATTTTGTGGCATGTGTTTCTTGATTGCTTTTCATTTCTTTGGATAATCTGATGTGTTCAATTTGTTTAACTTTTGCATGCTCGTATGGGTATCTCAAAATGTTGAACCTTTTTCGTCCATGGGTAGTCATTTATAATGTATGGTTTTGGTCAATAAACACATTTGTAGATTTAAAATTATTTTTGGAAGTTAACATTCATTCAGTGATGGGATGCCCAACTTCTCTTGCCTAACCATTTTTGTAGATTGATACTTTTATGACTTTATTACCAGCACTAGGCAATGAACCAGTGGCGGAGCCAAGAAATTAAGTTAGAGGGAGCACTTATTAATTATAATTTTTTATTTAAAAGAAATCACGATCAACATTAAGATAATAATAATTTTATGAACTAAATTTAAGCATAAGAAATTAAAAATCATTGTTAATAGGAACAAATCAAAATTCTATAATAGTGTGTAATAGTTCGGTACGGGATGGTGATGTAAGTTTGTATTTTTAGCACAAAATTATGGATTAAAATTCCTAATTTTAGAAAATAAAAACACATCATTTATAGCACAAATTATTATAAAATCTATTTAATTTTTATTTGACAGAAAATATTAAAGAGATGATATTACTTATAGATGATGTGTTTTGAATGAAAATTATTAAATAGTCTTAGAGTACCATATGACATTGCCTATGTGATGCTCAAACTATGAGAAATCACAAATCACACTAAGTAATTTGTCAACTACTTGAAAATATGAGTTAATTATATTCAATCTATAAGATTTTTCACTACATTGGTTTAGACTATTACATAAACAATACCGCATAGTACTTCCAAAGTATCAAATAATTACTTATTATGAACAATACAATAAATTCTTATCTAAAGAACATGTTAAGAAAAAAAAGAATACATTTTGTATATGACCACAAAACAAAAACAAAAGAAGTTCAAAATTGAGAGGGGGGGGGGTTCACGTGACCCCCCGGGCCTTCTTTGGCTCCGCCCCTGCAATGAACCATAGTTTTTAGTCTTTGTTCTAATACGAGATGTGGGCCATGTGGCGTGTCGTTATAGACTAATCTGAGCAATATTTAGACACTAATATGAAACAATATGCAGCATCCTATTTGCATTACTTAAGCTTCTCAAATTATCTCTGCATATTGTTTGAGTATTAGCTTTTATTCCATGCAGATGGGTCATTGATCCCCCGTTGGAGGTTACTGTCCCTGCAAAACGCACACCATGGCCAGACGCTCCTCCAGAACTTCTGTCTAATGTAAAAACAATTGGCATGGAGGAAAACATTGAGAAACATGCTACAAAAACTCGAACACACAGATCAAAACGCCCTTCCAGAAGCAAGAGAAAGCGTGAAGCAAGAGCAGTAGACACACAGGTCTTGCCTAGGCGTTTTGGAGAAAAATAAAACCTCATTAGCCAAGAATGTTCAAGATGTATACAGTTGTGTGAAATAGGGCCTTCAACATCAAGAAATATGAAGACAAAGCAGATATTCTTTCCGAGTACATACAGAAAGGCAATCTGTTACAGCGGACTGGCTGATATGTGCATTTTGGTTTTCTTTCCACCAAATTTCCACATGCTTCCCGTGCAAATTTTTTTCATTCGGGTGATATTTAGTCTCACGAAAGCAATATATCAACTGAATCGTGCTGCATCAGCTGCTTTCATAGTTGTTTGCTTGTATTCAATATGGTCAAAGTTGTTATACATAATTTTTAGAATAGAAAATCACAGATTTGTGATGTTGTATTTCGCAGAAACAATCAATACTTTCGTGTAATAAAGAATGATTTCACTGCAAGAATGAATGCTGTGTTGTAGTTTTTTTGCAGAGTTTGAAACAGTCCATGGATCCAAACTTCCTGTCTCACAACCCATGGTTTACGGTTCAGTTTTGGGTCAAGGGAATGACAAATGATGGTTCCACTATTTTTTTAGTCAAAAGATGAGAATAATCATTTTGATAGAATGATATTTTCATTTTATTTTATTCTAGTAAACTAAATCGAGCATTGTGAACAATCTGATTACATAGCTGTTCATGAACGGCCCCATCTTGGTTTGATTCTCAAATTGTTGGTCAGTTTATTCTAATCAATCTGAGAATCGAACCATAGTTCCAAAACTAAAAACAATGTACTACATTACATTGTCTTTACCAATTATTTTTCCCAGGGCTCACTGGAGAGTGTGAAATATACAGAGCAACACAATCCGTGGGTCACCATTGTTCTGCGAGTCCATCACAGAGTTTACATCGATAATTCAAATTGTTTAATATGTAGAATTTATCAAATATTTCATTTTTGTAAAAAAATCGCATTGATCAGATATGAATAGTCTATTTGATCAGATCACATTTGTACTAATAATTTATTTTTAAAATTATAATTACCGTTGATATAAATTTAATCTGATTGAGTAGCTATCAATATTCGATCAATGTAATTTTTTATAAAAATAAAATATTCGATGAGATTTATATATTAACTATTCGAATTATGAATGTAAATTTCAGATAAGCCCACAGAACACGAGAAGCCTAAGCCCATAAAAAACATAAAAGGAGCAAAAATTAATTTTTCCAAAATCTATACAAGATCAGAGTCCTACAATGACTAGATTATATCAATCGACTTTAACTTTTCTTAGAAAAATAAATAAATTCAACTTTAACCTTTCTGTCGGTGCACACATGCAGAGAAATAGTCCCAATATATTTTAGGAGATCACCTTTTATTTATTTATTATTATTGATTCCGCTATAGTTTAATAAAAATTATTATATAAAATCAGAATATCATATAATATTCCATCAAAACACTATTGAATTGTAATTTTCACTCCACCATAATTTTTATTTTTTGAATTATATAACCTCTTATTAAGGTCTCATTTGACAAGTGATTTTTTTAGTTAAAAAGTCAAAAAGTTGTTAAAAAAAGACAAAAAGCCAACAACTTATATTAAAAAGTCAAAGATTTCTTTTTTTCTCTACTTTTTGTACATCTTTTTGTAGAAAGTTAAAAAGTCATTTCAAATATACTAATTTTTTTACATCATATTTTAGACAAAAAATTAAAAAGTTATTAAAAAAGCATATTCGCAAACGAGGCCTAAGTATTGTTTTAAAGAGTAGGTTAAAAGTTATTTTTTTGATTTTTTTTAAAAAAATATAAAAAAATAGATAAATAATATGACTCAAAAAGGAATTAAAAGCCACCAAAAGTAGGGATGACAATGGATAACCTATCCTGTGGATATCCATGGAGACCCAACCCAAATACATGAGTTTTTTCTTTTTTTCTTATCCGTCGGATAGGGTAAGTGATATTATTTAAATCTCCATTGGGGATGGGACGGGGATGGATACCCACTAATTTTCCGATATGTTTTTTTATTATTTTTTTATTTTTATTTTTTTAGGAACATCGGAAAATAATTTCTCCATATGTTTTTTTTTTTTTTTTCACTACTCTGTTTATAATTAGAGTTCCAATTCTCACTCTCTCTCACCCTCTCATTACAGCAACGACGATTTGTGATGGTGACAACCTAGTGGCGAAAAGATTGTGACTATCGATAAAAAACGTGCAATTAATCACAACCAAAACATGAAAATTGAAGACAAAAATGTACAAAATTTCAATTAAGGTGATCATTCTCTACTTTTTGTACATCTTTTTGTAAAAAGTTAAAAAGTCATCTCAAATATACTAATTTTTTTTACATCATATTTTAGACAAAAAATTAAAAAGTTATTAAAAAAACATATTCGCAAACGAGGCCTAAGTATTGTTTTAAAGAGTAGGTTAAAAGTTATTTTTTTGATTTTTTTAAAAAAAATATAAAAAAATAGAGAAATAATATGACTCAAAAAGGAATTAAAAGCCACCAAAAGTAGGGATGACAATGGATAACCTATCCTGTGGATATCCATGGAGACCCAACCCAAATACATGAGTTTTTTCTTTTTTTCTTATCCGTCGGATAGGGTAAGTGATATTATTTAAATCTCCACTGGGGATGGGACGGGGATGGGTACCCACTAATTTCCCGATATGTTTTTTTTTTATTTTTTTATTTTTATTTTTTTAGGAACATCGGAAAATAATTTCTCCATATGTTTTTTTTTTTTTTTTTTCACTACTCTGTTTATAATTAGAGTTCCAATTCTCACTCTCTCTCACCCTCTCATTACAGCAACGACGATTTGTGATGGTGACAACCTAGTGGCGAAAAGATTGTGACTATCGATAAAAAACGTGCAATTAATCACAACCAAAACATGAAAATTGAAGACAAAAATGTACAAAATTTCAATTAAGGTGATCATTAATTAAGATAAAAATTGAAAAATTCAATCTAAGGTTACTATCAAATCAGAGAGAAATCCAATAAAACAATTGCAGGAGATATTGAAACAAGAAAATTCATTCTATAAATACAAATAAAAATTTAAAAAAGAAAGAAAGAAGAAGAAGATGGAAACGAGAGTAACAACTCACTATTAGATTATCGAAAATCAATTAATAGAGAAGAGAATGAGATACATAAAATTTAAAAAAATTAAGAAAGAATGGAATTTTTTTGTAGGAATAGAATTTTTCTAAATAAATTTAAAAAATTCTAAATATACATAAAATTTGACAAGAATAATGTGACAATGTTAATTAATGTGTATTTGATTTTGTTCTTGAGCCAAATAAAATAAAATAAGATTGAATGTATATTTAACTTTGGTTGTGAAAAAAAAAAAAAAAAATTGGTTGTGAACCTTAAAAAAATAAAAAAAAGGGGGTCAAGTTGGACTGGGAAAAATCCAGACTCATTAGGAGATGGGGAGAGTAGTACCTATGGAGAATGGAAAATGGGGAATAGAAAAAAATAATTATAGAGAAATGGGGATGAAAAATTAATATCTACCACATTAACCTCCATTGCCATCCCTAATCAAAAGAGGCAAAAGGAAACATAGTGTTTAAAACTCAAGCCCTTGGACATTTTTAAATGGGCTCGAATCATTAAGATGTAAGAATTTTGATGTAGTAAATAATTTAATAAATTATGAGTGGTTATTTGATGACTATGATACATTATTTTATATCATTTATTATTTGATATTTATTAATTTATTTCAAAAAACTTAATAAATAATAATAAATTTTATTATTTTAATTAATCCATATTATGCGTATCAAATGCCGCACTAGATGATTGTGGATCGGAGCTCCGCACTTGATTGGACTATCCAAAAATTGAGGCGCTGCAAAAAGGAGCACCGTCAGAGCTGCCCAGCCGGGGTTGGCCGGATGACCCCTCCGGTGTGGGAATGAGTAATCGGAGAAGAAGCAAGGTACTCTCTAAGTGCAGAGAGTTAAGTTTCAGTGAGTAGGGTTTAGCTTAGATCAGTTACTTTCAATGTGAAGTTAGTGTAGTTTATATTGAACTCCTTACTTGTTGCCCAAGATGGTTTCATGGAGCTTTGATGCTATCAAATTTCCTTTTAGCATTGCCCAGGGTAGGGGACCATCTGGTAGTTGTCAAGGGGTGCACATACTCATTGTAGTCATGTTGATAACTAACCACATTCCTTGGATTAACTGTTTCCGTGATTCTAGGTGTAGGGGACCAGCTGAGGTGGCAACTTGCACACGCATATACTCACAGCTTCCGCGCTTCTCTGGTGTGTTCCTTTGGCTCGGCATTGTTGTGCCTCAGCTCGGCCTTCTATGAGATTGCTTGTAGAGATGGGCCGGACAGTATGATGTCTTTGTGTGGGCTCGGCCCCTTTTGAGTTTGGTTTAAGGGTTAGGTCCTGCGGCTTGGCCCAGCCCAGCGTCATGGCTGGACTGACCTTTCCACTACAGGTTGGGCCCAAGTGCTTGAGGATTTGGGTGGATTGTTGATGATGTAGTTGGGCTAATTTGACTAGCCCATTTGCTTATCCTGCTTCTCAGGTCTTGAGTCTAATAGATTGGACCGGCCCAAGGCTTGGATTCGACTCATTTCATATTTAGCCCCTTCATTTGCCCCCTAGCTCACGCTAAGGTTCCCCTTGGGGGGAGCTATTACTCTGTACTCCAAGTGTTGTGTCGCTTCGGATCCGCCCCAGTTCGGCCTTGGTGACGATTCAATCCTGACACACACCTCCTGCATGTGTCCTTTCATGGTGACACATAGTGGCGTGGTACTAGTGCACAGAGATAGTGCGCCAATTCCATGCTGATGGTCGTGATTTATGTACCTTCACGCCGGTTGGTGCAATAAATGCTCTAGATTCATCAATCCAAGTCCCTTCAAATATCAAAGTTGAATTTCTTAAAAATTATAGTAGGACCGTTTCATTGGCACAGATTGACTCAAAATTTAAGTGCTTGATATTTTTGGTTACTACAAATTTTTATTATTATTTACTGGAATGAATAAACATCAGCACTACACATGGGGGATGACTCCTAGGCCAGGCCCCGAGATTGGAGGTTATGACAGTTATGAAAACAGAGTCCTGTAAATTAGAGCCTCCCTCCCTTCCTCTTTATCAGTTAGTGTTATAGGGGCAATTTTCGTTTCAAATTTTCAGCCTGTAATGGCACTAAGTTACAGCACTTAGTCTCAACCAATTATGCATACATACCCACACAAAGTGTTAGAACAAGTAAGAGAATAGGCAGCAAGAGATTACAGGAAAATTCTGAACCTTTATTAATTGTACTAACAATACAAAGGAGTGCCTATGGAAACTTTTACAAAACACTTAGTCATCTTCGAGTTCCATGGCTATGCCTTAAATAGGCTTAC